AAAACAAATAAAATAAAAAGAAAGGCAGCAGAAGAAGAAAAAGATCTTATATCTGCTCCTATTTACAAAAAATATTAATTTCAAACAATAATAAACCAAATAATAAAACAAAACAAAAAAATTCAACTCCTCAAACAGTGATTCATACAAAATAACCACTTTCATATTTCTTTAACAATTTTGCTTTGATCATTTTTTAAAGGAATTAATTGATCCAATGCTTTTATAATAATTTTCCAGATTATTCTATAGTCTTTTACAGCAGCCAGTGCACTTTGTCATACCAGGACAGCTGATAAGACCTGTTATTTCCCCACTGTGGGATCAATAAAAAGTTTTTTTTAATCTTACTTTTCACCACCTTTTGCACCAAATTAATCTGAGGAGTTGATCAGCCCTGCTGTTTAAGTTTTTCTTCGTAAGGAAGACAGTTAAATGGCTTCGCCAAAATCCGCTCCACAACATTCAAACTGTCTGCCATGTGGACAAGCTGTGTCGTTTCCAGTGATAAAAAGCTGATTCTGAACAAAAGTTGAGCGCGTTGTAACTCATATTTAGTCAATGACATGTACACACAACAGTATATGTTTGATCTTTTCTTTTTTTACATTTTAGGGGAAGCTGAGCTTCCCTTGCAGTCTTAGAGCAATCGCCTCTACCTGGGATTCAGTCATATGTTTACATACCGTAGTTTAAAAGCTTTGTTTTCCTCTACCGCTTACGAGCATAAAACTTTACAAATAAAAGTTGCCATGGTCTCTGTCATCTTAATGTCCTGCAGAGAATCAGCTGGTAATGTTAGGAATTCCTTCGTTTCCTTTGTTTTGCCCTAGACAACTTGTTGTTGGAAGCTAACGTTGGCGTTGAACGTCAACCAGATCTAAATATACAGCAAGCCAGGAGTGAATGAATCAGTATTTCCAAATTTAAATGAAATCTATCCAATATTGATTAAATCCACTTTTTTAACCCAGCCATACTTTACACAATACAGTTTATTGATCTGTTTTACATACTGTATTTATTGATGTATAATACTAGAAATTTAACCCTAAAAATCATCCATAAAGTGGGGGCATAGTATTATACACGGGTTATTGATAATTCAATTTTTATGCTTTGTAAGCTCAAAAAATAATGAGCGTATTTTACTCGCGATCGTATTATACATGAATAAATACGGTAATATTTACTGTCTATGAAATCATCAAAATGTACCATCCTGACCCTACTTGTTTTTTTTAATGTGCTCTCTTGTTTATTTATTTTTTTCTCATTAAAGCTCAAATCCAGGACTTTTCTAACAAAGAGTCAGACTTCAAAAACAAGCTGAAAGAGATGAACATAAACACACAGCATCTAACGGCAAGTTCTATAAAWCTTTTTAACTTTATTTCTCTTTTTCAGCACTAGTCTTGTGTATTTTTTGAATATTAGATTTATGATTTTCTGACTTTTTGTAGATCCAAGATCTTGAGAATATGGCAGTGGAGAAGGTAGGTGAAGCTGAAATGATTGAGAAAAGGCCCAGGAGATTCTGCAACATCCCCAATAACTTCCAAGGGCACGATGTGATTGGAGTGGTAACTGCATTTAAAAAAAACATACAACTATTACTTTAAATTAAGAGGATATATTCAAACATGTTATTTTATGAATACAGGTAGGTCATCTGGCCTTTATTGAGGATGATGATGTGGCGAGGGTCATCTCCTGGCATTTGGCAGGGGACATAGACTGTGTGATCACCAGAACTACAGAAGCAGCTAAGAGAGTCCACCACGACTCAAGGCGCAATCAGCAGGTCATGGCCCTCGACAGCTTCTTTGTGCAACAAGGAGACAGGTACAACAATGATTTATCAATGATCCTGCAGGTTAGATGACTGCTTCTTCATTTTGTTCTGTGTCATCCATTTTTTTTACTCAAAATATTACAACTACAGTATTCTGTAAACTGATCCAAAGCAATACAAACACCTGTAGTGATGTAAAAAAATAAAATATCCCATCAAATAAAAATAGAGGAAACCTCAAAGTAAATTCTCCCACATGGAAACATTTTTGTCTTTTTTATTTTAGTTTTGATTTGATTTGATTTTGATTTGATTTATTTAACAGGAAAAGATTATTAAAAATCAAGCCTGACTCAGCATAATTGCTGTTTTACAGCAGGTTCCTGTTCTGCAGCACATAAAATAAAACACTCAGAATTACAGCATCACAATCACATCATTATACACCATAGACACAAAGACAAACAAGCATACCAATGTTGTTTAAWGTTCAAATATGGGTGTCAGTAATTACTGTATTTTCTGGACTATAAGTTGCTTTGGAGTATAAGTCGTACCTGACTGTAAATCACATCAGAACATCATCCCGTCACGTGGGTGGATCCATGTGTTTGTCAAGCAGAAACAGCCCTCCTTCTTCCCTCATGAGCTTCTGTACTCCACCACTCTGCCTGTTTTCTGTGAACAAGCAAATCGGAAGCGATTTAAATATGAAAAAATAAAGATTATATGAGGAATAAAAAATAAAACTACAAAAGGCTTGTTACTGCCTGCGACTCGGCTCCTAGCGGTCGTTGTAAAGAGACGTTCAAAAGATTCGGATTGTTCACAAACGTCACATCTCTATGCAGAATAGCTTAATTAGTCAGATGGCACAGATGAGAGTAGATTTACATGAATCATTTAAAATGACTTGTTTTTTTCCCAAGAGGCACACCCCTACCTGTCTACACAAGTTAAGGAATACCCCTTGTTCCCACACTCCCGTCTATTAGGGTCTGAACTTCTCAAATGCCGAAAGGTATTATCTAAGAAGCTGATGAGGAAGACTAAGTGGGTGGTGAAGAGAGTTCGTCCATCTTCTAGCTACATTCATCCAGGTGTCAGGCCCTTCATCCAGGCGAAGAACCCACACGAGCAGCCTTGGCGATGAGTTTTATCTGGACACAGCTGTTCACTGCAGCTCCTTCTCCTTTGTGACAAAGGCTCTTGGAATTGGCTAGATAATTTTTAGTGATCTGGATTTAGATCCCTAGAATGCTGTCTTTATAATCATAGGGCTAAGGCAACCCTCAGACTGTTCATCTCTTTAACTCGTGAGATGATTGAATTAACAGGGCCTCAAAAACCAATGTCCACAATTTGTTCTAGGATTTTCTTCTTGCTGGCCTTAATTGTTGCAGTTGCGGGTTACAGCCAGCATAAAATTAGCAAATTAAAAAGAAAATAAAAATACAGTGGGGAAAATAAGTATTTAGTCAGTCACCAATTGTGCAAGTTCTCCCACTTAAAAAGATGAGAGAGGCCTGTAATTGACATC